AGTCATTTTCAGCCTGATATAGTGCTGCGGGAGGTGCGTTGCAGTGCTATTCATTTAAATGGCACCCCAAACGCGCCTCCCACTCACAGTGTGGTCAACCGATGCCGTGCGTTCCAGTGAAGTGCGATTGCAAAAAAAGTGCGCATGCAGTTAATTTTCTGAAGTAAACTTTATGTTTGTAACACTGCATTTATGTCCCATTGTTTTCTATGGGTATGGTTCACACCTTGCCGTATTTCAGCCCGTCTGAACGCGCTACAAAACGGCCTACGCCTGAAAAGGTACATGAGCTTCTTTGCGGCGTGTCTCCATTGGGATACAGTCAAGTAGCACTCGGAAACGCGCGTTTGTCGCACGTTTTTTTTACGGTAAAAACGCGTGACAAACACCCATATTTGATACGCCTAGGAGTGAACAGAGCCTAAGCCATGATTTTGTTTTGTTGAGAAGGGACAGCAGTATGGAAATATTAAACACAAATTGACTTTATGAATAACCTTTTCCTCAAAATAGTCCATTTCAAAATGAGGATTGTTATGGTGGGGAGTATAACGTAGGGAAGGAATCCAAATAATCATTTCAACACAGAAATTCACACTAGAAATAATAAATGAACATTAAAGTGACATTAAACCCTCAGATTTTTTAACATAAACCAATACTGTAATGTGTGCCTTACTGTAATCCATGGTTGTTTCCCTTCTCTTTGCTGCTCTTCCTTTTAAATCCTCATGTCTTCATGCTTGGGGAGAACTTCCCTTTGCAGCTCAGGGCCTCTTCCTGTAGTGCTGGCGCAGGTTACAAGCCTATACAAACCTATACACAGACACCGTGTATCCATTCCTGAGACAAGGCAGTCTGCTGCAAAACAGAAGTTCTGCCCAGCATGAGAACAGATACAGAATTAAAAGGAAGAGCAGCAAAGAGAAGGGAAACTACCATGGATTACAGTAAGGCACACATTACAGTATTGTTTTATGTTAAAAAATCTGAGGGTTTAATGTCACTTTAAATCCCATTTCCACCTTTTATCGAAGTTACATAAGTTATTTGTATTTTTTGTGGTAATGTAGAGGTGCAGGGGCGGTGTGTGTGGTTTTTTTATACTTTTTTTTAATTGACTCTATAATAGGCCAGACCTCTGAAAGTCTGTGTGTGAGGAAGATCTCCTGCACATGTTGAGACATGAACTGTCTCTGGACTTTCTCTGTGTCGCTGTGTTTTGTATGTTCGTCTTAAATCTCACTCTCCAGGGCCAGATTGACTCTCTCTGCTGTCCCAAGGCCAGGTTCCTCAATGCACCCCCCCCCCTCCCCTGCCCCCCAGGGTGCGGGGGTCACAGAGCATGGGCGGGGTCACCGAGGATGTGCGGAGATGTGGAGTCATTGGGAATGTGCGGGGGTCACCGAGGATGTGCAGGGTACACTGAGGATGTGCAGGGTCCCCAGAGATGTACGGAGAAGTGGGGGGGTCACCGGGGATGTGCAGAGATGTGCCGGGGTCCCTGGAAATGTGCCGGGGTCACAGAGCATGTGCGGAGATGTGACGGAGTCACCGAGCATGTGTGGGGATGTGCGGGGTCAGCGGAAATGTGCGTGGTCCCCAGAGATGTGCCGAGATGTGACGGCGTCACCGAGCATGCAGGAGTCACCGGAAATGTGCGGAATCTGGGATCCCCAGAGATGTACATAAATGTCACTGGGGATGTGCGGAGTCACTGGGGATGTGTGGGGTTCACAGAGACGTGTGGGGTCATCGAGCATATGCCAATTGCTTTTGTATATTTAACGTTCACCCGAGATGTGTGGGGGTCACCCGAGCATATGCCAATTGCTTTTGTATATTTAACATTCACCTGTATTTGTGGCTCATTTGATTGTGTTTAATAAGTACACTGTGGATGACTTGGAATGATTTAGTTCAACATCGGGGAATATATCAGTTTCACAGTGCGGTGTAAATCATATTATATACATATTGTCCGGGGACAGTGCAGAGTGACCTGGAGATTTTTTAACTGTTTTTTCCACCTATAACTACAGATGGGGGTCACCGAGCATGTGTGGACATCACTGAAGATGTGCGGGGCTGTCTGGAGATCACCCCCTATGAAATGTAAAGGAGGGGGCTGTGCAAATTTGTGTTTAATCTAATTAACCTCGTCTGTACTGTGCTGCCAGATTTCATTAACGGAGCCAGCAAGAGCCTCTGTCCCTGGGGTGAATGTCTGCTTTCTCCAACTCTGCTTGTTTTGACAGAGAGACTGCTGCTGGAAGGCACGGTCAATAAAAACAACAGGGCTGGCTAGAGGCTTGTGGTAACTCAGCTGACTACAAGCGATAGAGGCATGTCATACGTTAGCACAGCATCCTGCATCTCCAAAGAGGAAGCAGGGGGAGGCAAACTGACCACTCTAGCACAGATCTACAACTTGCTGGCAATGGCATAACAGACACATTTTGAGATGAATGGGGTTACACAACCTTTAGGTGTACATTTGGAATTTGACCACCTTGTACAAACAGTGGTTGGCGGCTTCTCGAAGTGCATATCTTTAGCACCACCTTTGTTGTAACCCATCTCTGATCACATGTGCAAAGCTAAAAACTACTTTATAGTAGTATCTTCTGTGTAAGCATCTGTGATGAAATTCAGTTACGCACTAAGTGCTTGAAAACCCTTCACACCCTAATGCTGCAGTGTGTGGCAGACCATTTCTGCCG